CACCCGCTTTCAGAAGCTCCGCTGTAATTCTATCGTCGCCTGGGGCCTTGCCGTTTTAAGGTGCTGGAGAGCCATTCTAATCTCGCTCAGACTGACGTCCGGGATATCATCGGAATAGTGTCGGATAAGACTCGCTCTGGGATCGTTACTCACACTTACGTGTGGCTTCAACGATGATGTGTACAGCTGCCCATAGAACCTCTCAATCTCACTCAAAATCTCAGGTGTCCCGGAAACGACGCTGCCACACTCGGTCTTCAGCTTCGACAGTTGGCTTTTTCTGGCAGACAGATCTCTAGCAGACTTTGGAGCCCTGGTTCCGCTCGATCGCTTCTTTAATACGAGCAGTATTAAAGTTGCGTAAGTCCCGCCGCATGCATTTGGAGACCTGTCTGTTCAGTTGCCTGTATGCTGTCAAATCTACTGAAGACTGCAGCTACATATCCCGTCTAACAGCCATGAGATTAAGAAAGTTTTTGTGTTTTTCTGCGGCTGCATGGACAGTTTCCACGAGCTTGTCATTTTTATCGTCCACTGCATTGCAAACTTCTAGGCACTGAAAACGGTTTTGTAGCTCGAGCTGAAAGGTTTCGGGACTTTGGATTAGAGCACAAGGGGGACGGAGCGTTGACTTCAGAGCGTAGAGGTGACCTCTCCAACTTAACGTCTAGATTCAGTGTGCCTCTCACCATTCGGTGATCTCTGCCGGTTTTCACCCTCGCGATCACTGAGACATCACTGAACAGTTGTCGTCTGGTCGTCATAATGAAGTCAATCTCATTTTTGTCGAACCGTCGGGGCTTGACCAGGTCCACTTCCTGTGGGGCCGCTTCTGGAAGAAAGAGTTCATCATAAAGAGTCCCTCTTTCTCCATGAAGTCGGCCAGCTGCTGGCCTCTTGGGTTCCGTTGCCCTATTCCGAAATTCCCTACTTTCAGCTCACCGTTCTCTCTTGTGCCTAGTTTTGCGTTGAAGTCTTTATTAACACCGTATAGTGGGTTTTGGAGGAATGCATGGCTCTAAAGATATCCTCATATACACTTCTTCCACCTCCTCATCGGGGTGTGCCGAGGTTGGTGCGTAAACCTGAATGACCTTCAGCGAATACCGTTTAGTGATTCTGAGTATAAGGTACGCAACCCTCGTCGACACACTCTCAATCTTTACAACGTTGTTAACGAGAGACTTGTGGACGATAAATCCGACACCTCCTTGGGACTTTGGATAATCCTATAATATGCCGGCGTAACTTGTCTATCTCTTCTTCCAGCTCGTCAGTCCTCAGGGTGCGTGCGTTGTATGTTGCCAGGTCGAGTCATCGTAGGCGGCAACCGAACCTCCACCGGAGATTCTTAGCAGCCCCTGCCCCGCCGTTACCATGGAAGCCCTAGTACCGTCGCCAGGAATAACGGGGCCGCCGGGGACTGGGGGCCGTCTCTTCGTTACTTTCATGGGGGGTATATTGCCATAGTTGCGTGCGAGTTGGCAACCGCAGTTTTTTTATTGTTGTTTTGCGGTTATCAGAAAGATGCTGCTGCCCATCCTCTGCCTCAGTTTCCCTTTGTCGCCTTTTACGACACCCACGGGAAGATATGGGGTAGTGAGTATTCTTACCAGCCACTACACGTGGACATATAATATCAACATATATCCTCCATTTAGAATCAAAATTCAGAATGCGTTGACACTGTTTCACATGTCCCTGAGGACTAAGATGTTTCTTGTAGCAACGGTCTCCGATTCTCCAAAAAAAAAATCCCAAAATCAACTGAATACAATAAATTTTGAGAGATTAAATTGAAACACATTTTTTTTCATCGCAGTTACTAGACCGTGATCGACATGTTTTACTATTATGTTTAAAAGATAAGATTATAATATGAACTGCAAAATGATATACCAATTATATTAGCTCTGACACAAAATAATGATGGTAACTAGCTAGACATATTGCAATATGGTTTTTTTTTGTTGTATCAATAGATTTTTTATTCAGTGACTATAAAAAAATATATAACATAAACTAATTACAGCTACAAGTGAGAAACTTAACGCTAACGTATAATTATTGTCCTAAACAGTTGTTAGTGAAATAACTATTTATTCGTTAATAAAGAAAAGCTGCCAATTATTTTTCAATCTAACTGACTATAATATTGCTTAGACCCTAAATAACCCTTAATAAATGTATTTATATAAATGAAATCTAAATAATTTTTTATATAATTTTCAATAAAGAATAAGGTCCAAGCCAAAAGTAAAAGTATGTACATAATACAGTATTTTTTTTATTTGCGAATTTTCTTGTAACAATCGAGGTAAGAAACCTCGCGCAAAATTAACAAATAAGCAACAATACTTATAAACGAAAATAGTACAGGCGCTTTAAAATAATTACTTCAGAGTACGACGGTTGAGAGAGCGGGCGTCTTCAGTGATGAGGCTAGCCTTCTAAGTTTTTTTTTTAACTTTTCAACGTCATCTACAACACTGACATCTTTTTACAAAACAACAGCGCAGTGTTTGTCTTTCTTTAGTAAAACCACTGCACACAACACACGGTAGTAAGTCTGCCAAGTTCGGGAAAGAAAAGGGCGACGCACGAGCAGTGCGTAATATTACACGAACTTTTTTATTTTTTATTTAGATCTACTTTGGCTACCCTCTATAACTCTAAAACTTTAAGATCTACAGCGTTGCAATTTTGCATGTCTAATCTAATAATCAAGTGAATTGTTTGTAGTATAACACAACCAATAAAAAAGTTAAATTTTATGCTTGTATTATTATATCATCACATTAGCGTTAGTGACTATCAAAACTTGCAAAGTTATGAATTAAATATGAAAGAACGTTGACAATTTTCTTTTAAATCAATTAAAGAACGTTACCATTCCCGTAGCTATGATTAAAAGTACTGCTATGGAATTTGGCACCCATTCAGATCTTAATTCTTTAATCGGCGAAACCGACAACTCGAATGTCGTTTGTAGCCATCTTGACCCCTTTACACATTTGTTTTTGATGGAATAATTTCTACAGTTTGTGACTCGTCAGACACAATAACACAAGTCAGACATAGATGGAGTGGCAACCTAGTAAGAGATGCAAGAAGTTAATGGATGCAAGTGGCTCAAGACCGTGGTCTATAACGTATTCAGACCGGCAGTCTTTGGAGGAGGCCAATATTCAGCAGTTGACTTGTGATGAGCTATAATTATGACGATGATGATATCACAAGTGTGTTACTTACTTTTTTATTTATTTTGTACATTGTGTTAAATATAACAGCTTTGATAAATCATCCATTGAACACAATAATGAAAAAACTGTCCCAGCGTCCAGCGCTTATCTGCTCTGCGGGGTTAGGCAAATTGACATTCTATAATCTTTAACGCTAATAGAAAGCTATACAAAACTAAGCTATGAAAATATCATTCCTATAGTTTTCTATGAACTTTGACGATTGTAGAAAGTCGAAATGTAGAAAGACGCATGACGTAATGACGCTAACGACAAATCTTCGACGCGCGGGTCGTACTAATCGCAGCAGACACGCAAAATCGTGGGTAGAAACTTGTTAAAATATATAACTCAATCACGGCTACACATGTTTAACTTGAACGGACGCCTCGTTTGATGTAAGCCAACGGATCCGATTAGCTAAGAGCCTGTCGAAATTAACAAGCAAGCTGTTTGGCGGTCAAGTGGACTTCCAACTGTGTTTACTTACAATATATCAGCCATTTCTAAACAACTGTTCAAAGTCCACTGCTGAACATTGGCACGCTTGGCGTGCAGGTTGGCAACCGCAGTTTAATATATTTCAATTGTTATTAGGAAGATGCTGCCGCTCATCTCCTGGTTTATTTTTAGGGTTCCTACCTCAAAAGCAAAAAAACGGAACCCTTATAGGATCACTTTGTTGTCCGTCTGTCTGTCTGTCAAGATCCTTTTTCTCAGGAACGCGTGGAGGTTTCAAGCTGAAATTCATATCAAATACTCAAGTCTACTGTCCCTTGGAGCTGTGAAAAAATCAACCTTCTAAGCCAACGCAATCAAAAGATATAGCCGTTTATGCCGCAAATTTTCGACATTCGCAAGGGAATCAAAACCTACATGGTACTTCCCGTGAACTCAGAATCTTAAAATTTGGTACGAAGCAACGTATTATAGCACAGATAAAAGAAAAATTGCGAAAAGCATAAATTTTTAGTTACATCATATTATAATAAAAATATTTTTAATAATTTTAAATTTATATACCTACGGATTTGTTCGGAACCCTCGGTGCGCGAGTCCGACTCGCACTTGGCCGGTTTTTTATTATATTAAACACGGTAAGCTGATATTTAGTTAAGTCTGGCCAAATAATATCTGATCGTGTTGGTGCCAATAATGCAGTATATTCTATTAATATAGCACCGCCAGGATCAGCGTTAAAACAAAGGTCCTCATTTGAACTCACTTTCCCGTGTCGGGCTGGTTGCAGTGTCGACATCAGGGGGACAAAACTACAACCGAAAAACTAATAATAGAATTTGTTGCACAAATATGGTCTACACCTGCAATCGTCGTAACCATCTTTATCAAATATTAACTATTTAATAAAGGTTACAATTAGAGCCGTGGTGCCTCAGGGGGTACGCGAGCAACTCTTATTCGGTCCCCGCCCCGGCACCAATGAAATTATTAATTGCAAGTTTAATTTATAATATTAGGCTAAATTAATTAAAAAAATAAATTTGTATAAATTCGAAGCTAACGCTTTATCGTAAATTAGTTATGTTTCGTGTAAAATTAAAGAACATACGTACGTACGTAACTTACGTTATAAATTTTCTTAAGTATGGTCAGACCTCCGTAAGTTACATATAACAAGGGAAAACCCCTTAAAAACAAGAAATCATTTAAAAAGATTTGCACAAACTAATAGTTTGAAACTATGTTTACCACTTTAGGACACAAGCTTGTCAGTTTAAATATAAATAACACACTTACCAAAGGCATTGCAGGCTTTTGGACTGGTGGTTGTGGCGGAGGTCCCCTAGTTTTAACTTCGCTCGGCTGCCGTTTCACCACTGGCCGATTTGGAGGAGGATCCCTCGGAGAGTCCCTGATATCCCTTGAAGAATCTTGTGAAGACTCCCTCAAGGCCATAGCTTCGTTCAGCACCGCTGATATGGCGCTCAGCTTATTGCCAGGCAAAGGTGATGGTAGAACAGGTTTATTCTTCTCCGGTGAAGATCTCTGAGACTGTTGCGTTTGTGATGTTTGTACCGGAAATCGTGGAGCGTCCGCTTTAACTTGGCCATTGAGAGTTGTACCTGAAAAAGAAAACAGTTAATTTCGTCTTCCTAATGTCATCGATGGTAACGTTAGCTTTTTAAATTTCACTAGTGCCAAAGATGCCGTGTATAGTTGCTATGACGAAAAGTGGAATTAATCGTTGTTGACTGTCAATTGTCTACATTAACAAACGGTCTGAAATACCTTTATTAACTTTGGTCCCTTTTGGGAGAGAGCTAAAGTCCTAGTGTGCGATGCTAAGTGCGTACACACTTTGGCAGCCTCCTATCTGAGGAGTACCTTGTTTACAGCATGGGCAGAATCAGAGGCGGCTGAACTAAGTAAGTGGCGCAAATATGAGTTTCTGAAAAATGACTACATAATATTTGTGCCATTTGCTGTAGAGAACATCGGTCTTCGGCCCGCGCAGTGAAGTTCCTAAAGGGACTGTATCCGGGACTTGTTGTCGCTACTGGTGATAAAAGGGCTGGTATTTTTCTTGTTCAATGGCTAAGTATAGTCAGTCATTCAACGAGGAAACGCAGACAGCGTTCTTTGCACTAAACCGCGGGTAGTAGGACTGTATATTTTATATATTGATGAAATTTATATGGGACCACATAAAAAGCACCAGCTTTCAAATAAAAAAAGAATCATCAAAATCGGTTCACCTAGAAAAAAGTTCTGAGGTAACACACACTCGAATTGAGAACCTCCCTCCTTCTTTTGAAGTCCGTTGGAAAAAACAGGAGGATTTCCATCGCACGCCGGGTACAGCTAGTTAGTAATAAATGAATATAAATAACAATCAACAATGCCTCTAGTTGTCTGCACCTACCAAATCTTCGGTTTTTTTACCTAGCATACGGAGCCCTCGCGATTTTTTTTTCGAAACCTACATAAATAAGTATAAGACTGCTTTATTGCTAGATTTTCTTAACTTTTTATAAATTAACGACTATTTTTAAGTAAATCGTAATACTACCAATATTGTTAATCATACAAAACAAACTTAATTATAGTTTGATTATAGTTAATCTGTAGTTTTTCTTTAAAAATTTATGTTCGGCAATTATTCGCCGTTCGCAGCATATCTAATTAACGCATCGAAGTCCATATAATATAGACATTTCAATGAACTTTTATTAGGAAGGAGTTGACTGTTTTTTTTTAGTTTTGTAGCTTTATACGAAATAGACACAACAAAAAAAGTTTGTGATAATTAGCAAAAGCTGATATATTTTTAAAATTTAACTTTATCAAGATAAAGTTTTTACGTTTTAACTTTTTTTAAATAGAAAATATACAATAGAAATACACTGTTTGAAATTAAAAAATAAAACTCTATTTTATTTTTTAATAACAAAAATTGAGTAATTCAATCCTGATGTAATTGTAACAGAAATTTGATGGAAAGAAAAAATTGTTTTAAGCAAACTTATACAACAATTAGCCGTGTAGTGGCGGTCAAGAATATCCACTACCCCATATCCTCCCGTGGGTGTCGTAAAAGGCGACAAAGGGAAACAGGCAGGAGATGGGCAGCAGCATCTTCCTGATAATAGCCAAATTACAATAAAAAAACTGCGGTTGCCAACCCGCTCGCCAAGCGTGGCAACTATGGCAAATACCCCCCTATGAATGACAGTAACAAAGAAACGGCCCCCAGTCCCCGGCGGCCCCGCTATTCCTGGCTACGGTGGCGACCATGGTAACGGCGGGGCAGGGGGTGCTAAGAATCTCCGGTGGAGGTTCGGTTGCCACCTTAGACGACTCGACCTGGCAACGTACAACGCACGCACCCTGAGGACTGACGAGAAGATTGTGGAGCTGGAAGAAGAGATAGACAAGTTGCGCTGGCATATTATAGGATTATCCGAAGTCCGAAGAGAGGGGGAGGACACGGTAATCCTCGAATCCGGCAACTTGCTCTATCATCGGGAGGGCGACCATCTCCGTCCGTCTCTCGTTAACAACGTTGTAAAGATCGGGAGTGTGTCGACGAGGGTTGCGTACCTTATACTCAGAATCACCAAACGGTATTCGCTGAAGGTCATACAGGTTTACGCACCAACCTCGGCACACCCCGATGAGGAGGTGGAGGAAATGTATGAGAATATCTCTAGAGCCATGCATTTCTCCAAAACCCAATATACAGTGTTAATGGGAGACTTCAATGCAAAACTAGGCACAAGAGAGAACGGTGAGCTGAAAGTAGGGAAATTTGGAATAGGGCAACGGAACCCAAGGGGCCAGCAGCTGGCCGACTTCATGGAGAAAGAGGGACTCTTTATGATGAACTCTTTCTTCCAGAAGCGGCCCCACAGGAAGTGGACCTGGTCGAGCCCCGACGGTTCCACAAAAAATGAGATTGACTTCATTATGACGACCAGACGTCAACTGTTCAGTGATGTCTCCGTGATCGCGAGGGTGAAAACTGGTAGCGATCACCGAATGGTTAGAGGCACACTGAACCTAAACGTTAAGTTGGAGAGGTCTCGTCTAATGAAGTCAACGCTCCGTCCCCCTCGTGCTCTGTTCCAAAGTCCCGAAACCTTTCAGCTCGAGTTACAAAACCGTTTTCAGTGCCTGGAAGACTGCAATGAAGTGGACGATATGAATGACAAGCTCGTGGAGGCTGTCCATGCGGTCGGAGCTAAGTTCCGCAAGACCCACCGCAGAAGAACACAAAAACTCTCCGATCACACTCTTAATCTCATGGCTGTTAGACGGGATATGAAGCTGCATTCTTCAACAGACTTGACAGCATACAGGCATCTGAACAGACAGATCTCCAAATGCATGCGGCGGGACTTACGCAACTTCAATACAGCTCGTATTGAAGAAGCGATCGAGCGGAACCAAGGCTCCAAAGTCTTTGCCAGAGATCTGTCTGCCAGAAAGAGCCAGCTGTCAAAGCTGAAGACAGAATGTGGCAGCATCGTTTCCGGGACACCTGAGATTTTGAGTGAGATTGAGAGGTTCTATGGGCAGCTGTACACATCATCGTTGGAGCCACACGCAAGTTTGAGTAACGATCCAAGAGCGAGTCTCATCCGACACTATTCCGAAGATATCCCGGATGTCAGTCTGAGCGAGATTAGGATGGCTCTCCAGCACCTTAAAAACGGTAAGGCCCCAGGCGAGGATGGAATTACAGCGGAGCTTCTGAAAGCGGGTGGAAGACCGGTACTTGAAGTCCTTCAGAAGCTCTTTAATTCCGTCCTGCATGGTGGCATTACACCGGAGGCGTGGAGCAGAAGTGCGGTGGTCTTGTTCTTCAAGAAAGGTGACAACGCTCTCTTGAAGAACTACAGACCGATTTCCCTTCTGAGCCGCGTCTACGTGCTGTTTTCGAGAGTCATTACGAATCGTCTCGCGCGCAGACTTGACGACTTCCAGCCTCCCGAACAAGCCGGTTTCCGAAAGGGCTTTAGCACCATAGACCACATACATACCCTTCGGCAAGTTGTACAGAAGTCCGAAGAGTACAATTTGCCACTATGTCTGGCGTATGTGGACTATGAGAAAGCCTTTGATTCCGTCGAAATTTGGGCGGTGCTGCAGTCTCTTCAGCGGTGCCAAGTTGACTGTCGGTATATCGAAGTGTTGAAGTGCTTGTACAGTAGGGCTACGATGGCTATCCGAGTACAGAACCAGAGTACGAAACCTATCCAATTGCAGAGAGGTGTAAGACAGGGTGACGTCATATCCCCGAAACTCTTCACCGCTGCATTGGAAGACGTTTTCAAGCTTCTGGACTGGAAAGGATACGGTATCAACATCAATGGCGAGTACATCACTCACCTTCGATTTGCCGACGATATAGTCCTTATGGCAGAATCGCTGGAGGCCCTAAGCACTATGCTCAATGACCTCAATAGTGTTTCCCAACGGATAGGTCTTAAGATGAACATGGACAAAACAAAGATCATGTTTAATGTCCATGTCACACCTATGCCGGTAGTTGTTGGGAGCACTAAGCTCGAAGTTGTTGACGAGTATGTTTACCTGGGACAAATAGTCCGACTAGGTAAGTCCAACTTCGACCGAGAGGTCAATCGACGGATTCAACTCGGCTGGGCAGCGTTCGGGAAGCTACGACACATCTTCTCGTCAGACATACCTCAAAACCTTAAAACGAAATTGTACAACCAGTGCGTGTTGCCAGTGATGACTTACGGAACTGAGACGTGGTCCTTCACTGCTGGCCGTATGAGGAAGCTCAAGGTCGCTCAGCGTGCTATGGAGAGGGCTATGCTCGGAGTTTCTCTGCGTGATAAACTTAGGAATGAGGATATCCGCAGTAGAACCAGAGTAACCGACATAGCCCAACGGATTAGTAAGCTGAAGTGGCAGTGGGCCGGCCATATAGCTCGAAGAACCGACAACCGATGGGGAAGAAAGGTTCTCGAGTGGCAGCCTCGTACCGGTAGGCGAAGTGTAGGGCGTCCCCCCACGAGATGGAGTGACGACCTGGTAAGACATGCAGGAAGTCGATGGATGCAGGTGGCTCAGGACCGTGCTCTGTGGCATTCTTTGGGGGAGGCCTATGTTCAGCAGTGGACTTGTGAAGGGCTGTAATGATGATGATGATGATGATACAACAATTTATTAATAGAAAGTTTTTATTAAATACAATATAACTCCTACCCTGGCCCGAACACATGAGGAGATTCTCTTGGGCATGCTGAAGATCAAGTTATCCATCATTTCTTGCGGTAGCCTGTATCATTCTTGAATAGCGGCCCCCTGATCTCTGACACTGGTTGGGGGGAGGTGGCCGAGGGTTCCAAACTACTCGCTTAAAAGCATCCCACGCGTGCTCTATTGGATTTAATTCAGGTGAGCCGGCAAGCCAGTCTAACCTTGTGATGTCGTATTCTCGGAGAGAATCTCGAAAGTAGAATTCTTGTAGACTTGTTGAGCTCGATGTGTGGGCGCAATATCATCGACCAGTACGAATTGGTGCCCATGGTTTACTCGGAATGGTCTGATAATTCCATAAATAGCGACTGTTTTGTATCTTCATGGGGCTTCGATACGGGATCAAAGGCATTCTAGCTCCAATCATAATTCCACACCAAAAGAACACCGATTTCCCGCCTTGCTGAACGGTTCCAATGTCAGTTCTTTGCCTTTCAGAGTCTCCAGGTCTTCTCCAGACACGGACACGTCGATTATCTAGATGAGTACTGTTTCGCGATTCGTCAACGAAGAGACAGTTTTGCCAAATATTTTCCTCTTCATTTTGCCAGACCCTAACCCATTGTAATCGCCGCCACTGACGTTGCCGTGAATGCAGACGTGCTCGTCAAGACCTCCGTGCTCGTAGTCCAGCCTTGTGTAAGCAATTCTGAATGGTCTGAGTGCTAACTTCAAGTCCAGACGCGGCTCGCACTTCTGCTTTCATTGTAGCGCGTTAATTATTGGGTCACAGGCTGCCAACAATCTGATATAGCGCTTCTGAGCAGTAGTCAGAACATGTGGGCGATCACTGAGGGGTCAGTCAGCTAAATTATCCGTGCCGTGGTACCTCTGCAACGTGGCCACGACACAGGATTGGGATACAGCAACTCTGCATACTATTTCTCTCATGGAATATCCTTCTTCCCTCAAAGTTACAATTCTTGCTCGTAAAACTTCTAATAAATCTCATGACATTTTTTCAATCACTTTCTTCGAAAAAATATTTTAAATCCGTTAAAATTGACTAAGTCAGATTTGTGAATGAACGTAAACTTGGAATGAATTTCTTTTTATATGGAAATACAGTTGAATTTATTTTATTGTTTTATCTTTTACAATATAAAACAATAAAGTTGAGTATCGTTTGAGTATTAGGCCATAATTCTATACTTTTTGGTAAGAAATGTAAAAAGAAAAAAAATTATAATATAGTCTACGGTAACAAAAAAGGTTTCGATTTTTCAAACTGATTGCAAACTTTTTTAATGTGTGTACGTGTTTTGGTAATTAATAAAAGTAAATTGATTATTCAAAATGTTACAAGCATTCGATATGTGAACTTTTGGTTTACAAATTTATTTTGATATCTTTACATACCATAAAACAAAGTCACTTCCCGCCGTCTGTACTTTTTTACACTTAGATCTTTTAAACTACTTTTAAAACAGACAGAATAATTCAAGAGAAAGTTTTATATGTATAATACATGCATTTTATATATTACATAATTCTTCTGTCCGTGTCTATGTGACTGAACTCCTCCTAAACGGCTGGACTGATTTCTATGAAATTTTGTGTGTGATTAAGTTAATAAGAGAATGGTTTAGATTCACAATTAGATCTTTTAGGTGGCATTGTTGTAGATAATTAAACCGTGTGAAGCTGGGCGAATCGCTATTAGTTCATAAAATCAGAAAACTACAAAATTCTTATCGATGTGTATCTACCGTTACTGTTACAGCCTATTAATGTCCACTCCTGAACATAGACCTTCCCCATAGATTGCCTTATATACATAGTTGCCTCACTTTGCAAGCGAGTTTGCAACCATAGTTTTTTCTCAGTCATTATTAGAAAGACTCTGCTGCCCATCTTCTAATTTGTATCCCCCTGTCGCCTCTTTCAACACCCACAGGATGATATGGGGTAATGGATATTCTTATACCCCCACTGCATGGTGCATGAGTATCTGATAATGCTAAAATTTCTGCCTACAAGTCCATTTGGGTTGGTATAGAAATCTAAATTATAGACTGAGAGGCATTCCATGTTAGTCCTCAGTCATGACTGTACATCTATAAAATTCTTTATTTTAAGTTATTTGCAGGTGTCTATGGGCTACAGAAGCCACTTACCATTAAGTATACTATTAGTTTGCTTTTCACTTCAATTATCAGTAACATATAGGTACAAATGAACAAGTGCTTTTGTATCTATCTATTGTAATATTCTTCGCAGATAATAAATTTTAGATATTATAGTGTAGCTTAATCAGTATATTATATGTAAGGTATATCTATAGGCCAAATTTGGACTATCACAAGCCCTCTAACTATGCATGTATCATTTAATAAACATCTATCTACTATAGGTGTTATAAACAGTCTTCAGTGTCTGCATATAGTGCAACAAGATGGCAGCTTACATCCTATTGGAGTGCTCTACAGTCACTTCCTACAGGGCTAAATACCTAGGCGCACTGGAGTCACTTCCCGAGATCTTTGGCGACATCAGCAAGTTGTAAGGATTATTTGTAGGGCTAAGGTGGCTTGAATAGCATTAAACCCTAAACATGCAAAATATGCAGTTAGTTCGGGAGTTATGGAAGTCAGCCCATGGTACACTAACTAGTTTAGTTTACAATGACCTATTTTCCACAACTCCACATCTAAGCACGTATTTTGTGTGTGCCAAGCACTAACCATTTATAGGGCACAGCATCCACTTACCATCAGGTGGACTGTGCGCTGGTTTATCACCCTTATTCCATATAAGTAAAGCACAGTCATCACTATAACATGACCACCATTGGTTTGAGTCATTGTTGTGACTAATTTACAAACATAATATTAATGACTCATGGAGAGATAATAATGTAAACAATTTATTTTACACATATAGTACAAGTGCTCATATCAACAAATAATACTTACTATATAATATAATATTAAAGAATTATGAATGTACTGTACATTATTTTCTTTAGTATTTTATGTTAAACGAGCTTTGAACCCTGACTTCGTCTACTTAAAACTTTTACAAAAAATACTTAGAGCTCTAAAATAGCAGTCTTTGGGCATGTAGTTCTAATATTGAATTTTAATTCTTTATTAATGAGCTTAATCACAATGTTTCTAATATTGAAATAAGACTTTAAACTCAGTTTTTTTGCTATTATCTCGAAAACTATGTGTAATATGTGAAAATATTTCAATAAAAAAATTGAATATCTATTAATTATATGTAAAATAGAACTTATATTTTTATAAATATATATAAAAAAGTTTTTGAACTTTGTATAAAATTACAAAAAGCTTCTCAAAATTTAACTATGTTCTTTTACTTTTTATATATAGTTTATGGTGAAATAATCATGAATAAACCATTTATTTTATCAGTTTTTCGATTTCATAAAAAAAACTCCATGGTTTTCAGATAAAAATAGCCTAGATCACTCCTGACATTGCTCTCAATATGTTTGTGAAATTTCATCACAATAATTAGTGTAGGGCGTCCCCCCACTAGATGGAGTGACGACCTGGTAAGATATTCAGGAAGTCAATGGATGCAGGTGGCTCAGGCCGGGCTTTGTGGCATTCCTTGAGGGAGGCCTATGTTCAGCAGTGGACTTGTGAAGGTCTGTAATGATGATGATGATGAATTAGTTCAGCCATTTCGAAGATTAGACCAGACAGACAGACAAACATACATGAATTTAAAAATGGTTATTCTTGTTTTAATCTTGTACATATAACCCTGAGCTAATAGAATGCAGTAAATTCGAGACAGACACTTAAATTTCATTTATATGTATAAAGAAAAACATTAACATTTTTGAAATGTTAAATGTCATGTGTCAATAAGTCATGTCATTCGTTTTAGGCCAATTATGAATAAGTTAATTCAAAATACCACAGAAAATTGTCAACTTTTACTTTGATTTTGAAGTTGTCAAGTTTATCCGAAATAAACTTTAAATCGGATTGACAAAGTGTGCTCATAAATACAGTGTGACAGCATTTTCTTAGTCACATAAAACAAAATAATTATTAGAATGTCCAAAACAACATATTATGTGGTTTATGAAACAATATACTAGTCTTCTCGCCTGCTCGTAGTAAACCAACCCTACATAAAACTACTCTGTACAGACTATGTATTAAGACCTCAGTGTATTATACAATAAACATGAACACATTCATTTGTCTAACTATCCATATCCTCAACCAAATCACCAATAATTTGTGTTTTTACACAAATATTAATCATGACCAGAATTCCAACTCAAAAGTCACATTTTACAATGAAAAGCAAGCTTTTGAGCCTTTTTACATCACATGATACATGTTTGTGAGTGCACAGAAATTATTCTTATATTATTTCTTAGTATTTGTGAATAGAATTTGTGTCATCAATCAGTCACCAAAACCGTGTTTGTTAAACCAGGGTTTACCTCATCTGCGGTTGACATACAGGGATCAAGTTTTTGCTCCCAACACTGGTCTAAAAGTAACAATTTAAAATTGGTAGTTACAATTAACATTATACAATTCTACATATTTTTGTTGTAAAGATGGTAGCTACAATTTCTGTTCATTAAAAGGTTTAACTTAACAAGCAATAATTTACAAATTTGATACAGAAAACTGATTTCTTAAATGTAGAATTGTAGTTACAAATTAACATTATTATAGAATGTTTATACAATTCTGATATTTATTAATGTTATAAAACACATACAATTAAATATAATAATTGTCATTAACTACAAACTAATAACTAATGACTGCTAACAAATAAAATTTAATCAGCCAAATAATTTTATTATTTAGTAGTTATTAGACATTTATATGAGGAATGTAAGATTAGCCCTTAAAGAATTGTATCATTAAGCCATCTTATCTATCAAAAGATATAATTTCCATCCATCCATCCATTTTTATCCATCCAATAAAAGTCCACAGCTGAATATAGGCCTCCCCCATAGATTGTCTCGTAGGGAAGATTTTGCCTTAGTTGCTACGCTTGTCAGGTGGGTTGGCAAATGCAGATTTTTTTATTGTTTTAAGTTGTTATCAGAAAGATGCTGCTACCCATGTCGATTTATTTTCACTCTATCGCCACATACTACACCCAAGGGGTACACACTATATGGGGTGGTAGATATTCTCATACAGTCAGTACATAGTTTAGACATTATTTATAGCCTATAAAAGTACCAAAGAAAGCAGTATTGAATTACCACAAAACTTGCATATATTAGGTGCTGTAAAGGCTCTAATCTGAATATAATACTAAACTGAGTTCAGTTGTGAAAGAAAACAACAAAAGAAATGTTAATTAACTCACCTGCTAACTTCCCTGTTGGTCTTAGCTTTGGCATTCCACCAGCAAATAACCCTCCAAGTCCAGGACCAATCGAACCTCCTCCATTTGGCACCGGTGCACCACTTTGAACACCATTTCCAACAGTTGAACTTCCTCTTGCAACACTAGTAACTTTGCCAGGTATGTAAGGTCCACTTTTGTCAACAGTAACAGTCTTTTTTAACTTTGCTCCTTGTCTAATTGAGCTTAGTAATGCACTTCTATTGTCAGAAGATCCACCTTTCGCGGCGCCACCAAACACGGGAGGTGGTGGTGGACCAGGCGGTGGTGGACCAGGCGGCGGTGGGGGTCCTATTGGTGGAGGCTTCGGAGCCATATTTTATAAAGCAATTAACAATGTCCCATGAATCGGAGCCAAATGGAACTACTAAAACCCAATACAGTCCAGCTGTTACCAAATATTCTTACGTTTCTAGTGGCGCACGATGAAGTCTATCGACGGTCGATACGTCACTCCGCGCTTATCCATGCTAATTTACATAAAATACACAAGAGCCTTGCCCTAAAAGATTAATCATGGTAACAAGTACGTAGACACTAGAAATTATTTCAACTAGGGTCACCTCATTATGTCCTCTGAGGGCAACTTACGTTGTTATTATAAAATCTTTGTGTATTGAACAAGAAAAACCTGTAAGCTGAACTGAAGCCGTTCTTAAAGGTTTATCTCAAAAGCTATAATACAATACAAGTGAATGAAATTCATCAATTTCACATTTTGCAACATGGCTGCCCACAACTGTCACTGCTAGGGCTACCAGAGTATTAACTAATATTTTAATTGTAGAATTTTTAACACTCAAAAAAACGTTTTTTAAAGTATGCATATTCAATTTGACTCCAATGAAAATTAAATATATATATAATAGTGATTTCACACTTTTTATGTAGGAAATTGCTACGTAAAATTTATAATATGAAGCTTGTGGTAGAAAATCATAGTATTATTTTGAGTACTGACATCATTGTAGTCTTTTTTAATAATATACTCTAAGGTCGTATTCGTATCATCCTGAGTACGGGTTTTGGCGGGAACTTGACCGGCGACGGATTGCTGCTCTTGTATTATTGTTTAAATAATGGTTTGAAGTGGATTTCGATATGTAAAAGTGGTGCGATTTTGTGTATGAAGTGTCTGCGCATGTAAACTATTAGTGGAAACGGTGAAACAAGTGCTCTGATGGTGATGTAATTCTCAAGATATGTGTCTGTCTGCTTAGGTCCCTTGAGACACCATCGCCAACTGTCAACTGTCTGCTGGCTGAAGTTGCCGTCAAAATCTCCCAAGGGCTGCACAATCTGACACATCAACATATTGTGAAGCAGTATACTATGAAGGATAATTTTAACTTCAAGCTCAGAAGAGCTAGAACCCAGAGCCGTTAATCCAGTTATAAAAAAACAACCTGAGAACCTCCGAGCATAGAAAATAGAGGAGATGGCAAGCCTACAAAAAAATCGTGTTAAATCAAAACAATAAATGACGGACGCTGTAAGCTCCGCCCATTTCTTAGTGATGTGAAAAAGCTGTTATTTTGACATTACAAAAAGACACTTCAATTTTCTTTATTTGTATTGATATTGTTTTTTAAGGGGGAGTAAATGAATTGGATTTTTGTGTTTGATTAACAAACATCGTTTAATAAATTCGTACTTATGTTTTATTGAGTTTAGGTCAATAAAACATAGGCAAAACATACCATATAATTATCGCTTACCTAATATTTACAAATACGAACATAATAAAATTAATAACTTAAGTACAATAACGCATAGACGTCAATCTTGGCACAGAACATCTGGTTACGCTTGTCATAATGGGCAATGAACGATACGCGCGCTCTATACTTTGCTTATTTGTACTCTAAGTTCTGAACTCTCTTATCTATTATTCTAAGGGGTCCCTTCTAAATATTACTATACTCTTTTACGGTGTCTATAACTTTGACAAGTAGATAGCCAAATGGATACCTACTGCCAACGTTTAAAAGATTAGTTTAGATCATAGACTTAGAATATATATTATACTGGCTATGGAGTGTAGAGTAGAAGGAGAACCATCTTATAAGGTGTGAAAGTTGAAAAAGTGTCCCAATATATACTGAAAATAGAGGTTCCAAAACCTACCATAATAGCGCTGGCGTCTGAAAAACTGCGATATGAATATAGCTGTTGTAGACGGAGTGAAGTCAGCTGAATTAAAATATTTAAAAAATTTCATGACTAGAGTAGTTAGAAAAATGCCAGTATACAAAACCTCAACTATTTCGTAGTACAAAACCAAGCGGATTGGTCAGTCCTTGGTTATGTCTCCATCTTATTCTAATGAATTTTGGCGCTTTTTTTTTAATTTATCCTATGCTACTGCAGCGCCACCCTTATTGGACGCGTTTTAAGGGACACTTTTCATATACAGAGATGGTCCTCCTTCTACTCTACACTCCATAATACTGGCGTATAAACGCAGTGGTTATATTCTCTTTGCTGGCGTATAGACGACCTGACAGCCCGAAAACGCATGACTAATTTTAATTTGTCAGTGTGTGCGTTAGCTTGTGATGTTTATTTTACTTACAAGGACTATCGAAAAATAATTGTTAAAGAAGCTGTAAAAATATTAAAAAAATAGCTTAGTCCACGAAATTGAATAACTTCAAAAATTAACTGAATTTATACCATGATAGTTCTAAAATAATTCAAAAATATTTATATAACATGTTCCTGGGAATAAGCTGAACCTACCTGCCTTTATTTTTTTTTTATAGGAGAAGGGTGACAAACGAGCACACAGTCCACCTGATGGTAAGTGGTTGCTGTGGCCCATAGATATCTACATCTATCTTCGATTACGAATGAAAATGCAGATGCGTCAGCGGACTAAGATGGAATGCCTCGTTTCTAGTAAAAAGGGTCTCCGGTTCTCTACACTCACCATACGAAACACAGCAGCGTTAAGGTGCTGTTTGACGCTGGTATTCTGTGAGAGCGTGGTCCTTCTCCGGTCGAGCCGACCCATTCATGCTACAACCATAATATAGCCGCAGCATGACTCTACCACGTAAAAAAGAGGATTTTAATTGGATTTTAATTCAAATGCATAAAATCCCAGGTCACTCTATCGATAAACTTAAAAAAACTCCCGAAGGATATGATTGGAAAATTGTATTTTCGAGCTATGATCTTTGGACAAAAATATTTACTGCCGTGGACAGTTTCCCCGGAATTTATTTTCAAACATATTGTTAATAGAAATATATATTGTAAATAGTATTGAAGGGGAAATAAAAAATGGGGACACGGAGTACATAATAGCTGCTTTATTTTTCATAATATAAGTTTTACGTTTGATAATTACAAACATTTAATAATTAATAATTAAATACATTATTGAAGTTTATTTTAAAATTTGACTTAAATATGAATGTAAGCTTAATAATTTAAGTAAAGAAACTTGTGAGAATCAGTTAAATAAGATGCACTATTTAAAGGCCAATATATTTATGAGACTTCATCATGCTTCATGTTTATATTCTTTCATCTGTCCATGAAGAGTATAAAGTAATAATAAACCCATTACCATTTAGCTGCATGAGTTTTAAAAACATAATGATCTTAAGAGAGTAAAGTGCACCAAGTATTTGAGGATACAGATGCACTATCTATTCTCTCAATCTCGGTATGTTAAGAAAATGGTCACTCATTCATTGTCTGACCGCGGTAAGTAAAACTTTATCTCGTGGATATATTGATTCGCTCAGCTATTACTTAACCACGAGTTCCTCTTCTCTACGACTAACGCTGTAGGCGATGAACCACGCTATTTAAGCCCTCGGCACAATGTCGTCGGCCAAAATGCATGGATCTGGCATCGAGTATTGTGAGTATCAAATACTATGAAATTTATACTATCGCATCTCATGCGCGGGCGTCTAGTGGCGCTTCCGGAGCATTACTAAATATCTATACCTAACTACGCTAAAAGTTTTATCATTGTGACTTGAGAATATAATCCGAAGCTCCTTTCAACCGCTTGGGGGAAATAGCGTGATGCTATGAATATTGTACATAAAAATTTGTCTCTATTTTTATCTAAAGTTTTGAAAGTTAAATTTTTGAAATCTGATTATAACAATATTATTATATTATACTTACTTACGTAAAAATTGTTTTAATTTTACTTTTTCTTTTATAATTCTCAAGAAAATGATTGCTGAAAATTGTTGAGTTCTTCTTTGGATTCCAACCAATCCGTCCAATTAACCTTAACCATTGTTTCTAATTATAGAATCCGGAGAGAATCTGTTTAACAAAAGGCAAAATAAAATTTCATTTGAGAATACAAACCGAGGATTTACTTTCTTGTTGTGTGGGCAAGTCTATCGATTCAATATAAATATTCAAGATAAATATCGACATTAATTTTTAAATATAGGTCAGCTGATTGGGACGGGATGCGGTCTTTTTTTGCATCCTACCCTTGCGGGCGGGTTTGCTTCTCGCCGGAAGATCCCAGCGTTGTTGCCGATTCTGTTGCTGATGTGGTACTTCAGGGTATGGAACTTTTTATTCCATCATCTTTGGTGCCCATCGGAGGCAGATCCCAGCCATGGTTTGGTCGCTCCTGTAAAATAGCATCACGCTATAAGCAGGAGGGCCTGGGCTGACGCATCAACCTCTCGGAATGTAAACACCAGCGCACTTAAAAAGAAGTATAATTCCGCCTCCAGGTCCTTCAAAAACGTCATTGGCAAGGCATGGTCTAAGCACATCGGCAGAATTGGCGAGAAGCTAGTTCGCCTTCCTTCGGGAACCCGTGCATTCTAGTCTCTCGCCAAGGCTGTCCAAGGGAACTTCTGTCAGCCATCTCTTTCATCTCTGCACAGAGAGGACAACTTACTGGCCCATGCCGCAAAGGAGAAAGCCGATCTGTTGAGCTCTCTCTTTGCGTCCAATTCGACTCTAGATGACGGGGGGAACACACCGTCGACCATCCCGCGATGTGAGTGCTCCATGCCGGATGTGCGGTTTACACAGCGCTCGGTTGGCAAAGCACTCTTCTCCCTGGATGTCAGCAAGTTGAGTGGGATCGATGGAGTCCCTCCCATTGTGCTGAAGACGTGTGCTCCGGAGTTGGCACCGGTTTTAACGCGTCTTTTCCGGTACTCCTACACCCAAGGCGTAGTACCGAATTCATGGAAGACAGCTTTGGTCCACCCGATCCCTAAAAAAGGCGACCGCTCAGACCCGTCCAACTACAGGCCTATCGCCATCACCTCCTTGTTCTCCAAAGTAATGGAATCCATTATAAACTGCCAG